AGAGTGTGTATGGGTGACATTTAGTTAATACTAGTCATTCGTAAAAAATCAGTCATTTAATATGAAGGCATGTAATGTATCTTCCTTAACTAGTAGCTAATATCTAGGAAAAGGAGAGGAGGAGTGGAAAGGGTGTTGGAATGAAAACAGAGATGTCCCTGACAGTTCAGTAATGTAAAGAAGAAGTCTTTTATCTTAACAATATATTGCCTTTGATCAATACTTAATATACTCATTGACTTCCCTGTAGGTTCGTTCTACTGTGAATCAAAGTCGTAATATGGTTTGTAGTGTGATGATTCTCAGTGCTAGTCATCTCCAATAAAGGTTACCCAGTTCTATTAAATTTAGTATGGTGTAATATAAATGTAGGATTTTTACAAAAGGTAATCAAATGGATAAAATATTACTTGCATATGTATGAAATAAATAATAGAATACAGCAATAAAACTTAAATCTTTCCTCACATAAACTTTTTTCTCCTGTGCACTATAGTGCCTATGGACCAAGTAGGATTTGTATCCAATGCATTAAACACTATGAAAACAAATTATTTTAAAAAGCGATCACATCAACAGGGAGTTCACAATGTAAGAATCAGGCAAGGTACAGCAGTCAGAATAAGCCACAAATGAGGAGAAACTAGTAGACAGAGGGAGACAGATAACTGGGAGGGGAAGATTATAGTAGTGACAGGTGTTTCTATATAACTCAGTCATAATAGTGGTCTCAGTACTCTGATGTGGTTGCCAGGTTAGCCATCTATTTCACAGACCTTTATAACTGGCACATGGCATGCATACATAAGACAAAAAAGAACCAATAGTACCCACAGGACTGAAAAGCTGAAAACTGAAAGGAGCTTTAATAATTTTTTTCTGGGAGAACATATGAATGAAGTTAAAGTTAAAAGGAAATTCAAGGGAATAATTTAAATACTTAACATATAGATATATATGTTTCCTCATTTAAGCTATTTAATTTGCTATCAAAACTTTAGCATTGTATAACATTCTGGAACCTATCCCAAAATAGTCATGAGCAAAAGTTCTATTTCATTTTATAGTTTTTATATTTTCCAGAAATGATTGCTCAGCACTTCCCTCTCAACTCCTGTACTTTCCTTATATTGCTCTGCTGACTAGTACAAAGTAGTACAAAGTGGCTGCGTTTACATGAGACACTGATTGAGCAGTAGCCCATGACTACTATGCAGTAGTGTTGCGTGGCAGAAACTATGATGCAACAGTCCTGTGGTGCAGTAGTCTCAGGCTACTCTACAGTCAGCATCACAAAAAAGCCATTCGGTGGTTCTGATTCTGGTTACTGAGCAGTCATTTAGTACTTGTATAAGTATTTTATGATTTGTTTATACAAGTACTAAATGACTGCACAGTAACGACTGTGCAGTCAGTGACTTGTGCAAATGCAGCCAGTATGTAGTCTTCCACACAAGGCTACTGGAAGATGACAGAACTACTTATAAAAGGCTTCATATTGGTAGCATACTTTTGTGCCCCAGAAATAAACAGGTGGTACCTTACCAAGCAAGTCTTGTAAATATGGTAAAGTTGCTTATCACAGTTTTCCTTAAGAAATGAGAAGCCATGGTATGGATTGCTTTTTGTAGCACACCAATAATTATTTTAAAATACTCTCCAAGGAGCAATCATTTGTAAATATTAAGAGCATTATTTCTGATACTATCTTGAGCTTGTTATATAGAAAACCAGAATTGTGGGAAATCTTTTTTGAGGGTTCAATGATACCACTCAGAAAACACTAATGTGATTAAATCTCTCATTGGTGTACATAACCCCAGAAATGCATCTGGTACTTCCTGAAGATGAAGCGAGTTGGATAATTTGGTCTGAAGAAGAGTGGGAGGGAGGATTGCAATAAAGAGGATGACTAGGAACTGTTCTTTCTCCCAGGGGACAGAACAAAAAGTAATGGGCTTTAAATTGAAACAAGGAAAATGTATTAGTCATTAGGGCAAACTTTCTAACTACTAGGGTGATTAAGCATTAGAACAGATCACAAAAACGTATATTATTGGAAGTCTTTAATCTTTTGATGCAAGTATTCATCTGGGGTGGTCTAGACAGGGATGATGACTTGTTCTAAATGACCTCTTAACTTCCTTTTCAGACCAAGTCTGGATAGTTGCTAAAGCTTAAACAATAGTTTGTGTTCACATTGAAACCGGATAAAATTCCTTGTTTTCAGGTTCAGATATGAAATATTCCTAGACTTTACTAATCATCATGTACAACAGCTACTGGTAGTAAATATAGTACCTCAGGACATGAGTCTGAACTGCTTCTTGTACATGCTGAATTATTAAACAACTAAAACAGCAATGGAAACAGTCTGCTGTGTGTGTGTTTTTGAACAAATGTATCTAAATTCCAAATTTACAATATACATATATAGGCAAGGCTTTGCTCCAGCCTCTCACTTTTCATATTCAGCAGTTCTTATTTTAACATTTCAGAAGTAGTGTGCTAGGGCTGTGTGAACCTTCAGTTGCTGATTCGATTTGGAGGAGATTCGGCCTGATTCGGCAGCCGAATATCCAAATCCAAATCAAATCAGGAGACCCATTCATCTCTCCAAATCAAATTGGAAGCCTCTGATTTGATTTGGAGAGATTCGATGATTCGGGACAGCTTTTAATGTTTTTTCTGCGTACCTCAAGCTATCAGATGGCTTGTGAATGCTGAGATGGTGAGGCAGATGGAGCATCTCACAGGAGCATGGGTGAGGCTCCCAGTGTGCTTGGCGGTGGAGCCAAAAGTGGACCAGAAGCACTTCCAGTCCACTTCCGGGTCCACCATGGAGCACGCGGGGGACACCCCCGGCCCCCCCAGCTCAGTGACTGTTGCCTCCTGGGTTTGGAAGGGCACCCGGGGTCCCCTGTGGCTGATCACTGGAC